CAGCCGCCGCTCCGTCCCGCCGCCGCCCAGGTCCCTGCCGGGACCCTCCTCGCCTTCCCCCCCTCCCCTCCCCAACCCCTCGGTCTCTAGAGAAGCCGATTTATAACCAGCCCTGCGTGCACCTGGGCCAGATCAAGGAGATTGAGCTGGGTCACCGGGGGCCTTTCCACAAGGGCACCCTAATGGCTCGGAGCAGATGTGAGCTGCTGGCTCGCTCTGGGCACGGCTCCGGGTTACTGCCCACGTGTGAAGAGCTGCCGTTCCCGCAGCCCCGACGACCCAGGGGACGGCAAACGCCGACTTAATGAACACAATTTCACCCCCAGCCCCGGGAGGTTGCAAATGAGCCAGTGTCTGGAGATGTCGGCAAATCCCCTGCCGCCGTTTTCCGACTTGCCCCCGCTTTATTTGCTCTGCCTGAGAGGCCGCGGGTTTTTTGTTGTGGTGGTTTTGTTGGGTTTTGGGTTTTTTTTTTTGTTTTCTCAGGTGGCTTTTTTGTTTCTTGTCTTGCAGCGAGAACGAGGCGTTGTGGAGGGAAGTAGCCAGCTTGAGGCAGAAGCACGCTCAGCAGCAGAAAGTTGTCAATAAGGTAAATCCCGACCTTCCGGACGGGGCGCTCGTGGTGGTGGCAAGGCCGGATCGGTGGGATGCAGCGGCGTTAATTCCGTTCAAGAATTATTTTAATCACCGTGTTTTCTTCCTGTTACGATGCTGGAAATCCAGCAGGGAGAGGCTAAATTTGGGCTGGCGCTGTTACCGATGCCGAGCTGGGCTGCCTGCTGCCTCATGGCCTCAAGCTGCCCAGGGCAGGGTCAGGCTGGCTCTGAGGAAGGATTTCTGTGCAGAAGGGGCTGTTGGGCGTTGGAATGGGCTGCCCAGGGCAGGGGGGAGTCCCCAGGATCCCTGGGGGGGTTGAAGAGTCGGGCTGAGCCAGCGCTGAGGGGTCTGGGGGAGTTGGGAACGGTCAGGGGGAGGGTCAGGGTTGGGCTGGAGGAGCCTGGAGGGTTTTTCCAGCCCAGATGATTCCGGGGTTCTGTAGCGGTTTCACCCCCCGCCGTCACCTTTGTGCTCAGGGTTGTGGTCAGTGCCGCTGTGTCCCCGCTGCCCAGCTCAGGCTCAGCTCAGAGCACAGATCGCTCCCCGAACCGCACGCACCGTAACAGCTTTTCTTTTTTTCTTCTCCTCACAGCTTATCCAGTTTTTGATTTCATTGGTGCAATCCAACCGTATTCTTGGGGTGAAGAGGAAGATGTAAGTCTGCATTTCTACATCCAGAATAAAGATTCCCTGTCTGAGAGAATAAAGAGAGGATCAGCAGAGTGGGTCCCCCAGATCTCTGTCTCCTGTAGCAGCCTTGCCAGTGGGGTAGGACTGGACAGCGGGATCACTGGGATCATGTGAGCCTTCCAGTACTTGCTCCAGCCACAACCAGTTAACGCTGCTATGCACCTCGTACCCAGAGGGGTTTGTGCCCATGTGGAACTCTCGGCAGCGCCCGCAGGGCGGGCCGGGTCCTGCGCTGCCCAGACAGCCCCTGGGCACCACCCTGGTGTTTCGTTTGGCCCGAGGGAAACCTCGGGCCATCCCAAGCGGCCTCCTGTCCCCACAGGCTGCTGTGACACCGTCACAAAGGGATTACGCCTGTCCCCGCCTGTGCTGAGGGTTGTTTTGCCCCTTGCTGGTTGTTCTGGATGACCAGTCGGTGCCCTCAGTGGTTAAGAACGTTCCCAAGGTTAATGTGTTTTTGACCAATTAATAGTTACTTGGTTTTGTCCCACTGTAGCACAACCCCTTGTCCCTCCTCAGCTATTACATGCGGTTCTCCTCTTGGTTCTCACCCGAACCTGTGCTAGGCCGAACGGGCCCTGCTCTTCCAGTCTCATCCTGCGGGACGAGCTTCTCCTCCACCCCATTTTTTACGCTTGTTCACGTACAAACTGGGAGATAACTCAGCCGTGCGCCTGTTCCTGCCCCCGCGTTGCCTGTCGAACCGCGGGGCTGTCCTTTTGTGTTTGAACAGTGCCCAGCAGCACCATATGGCAGACAACACCACAGCAGGCTCGATTATTATTAATGAACAGAGTGGTTTATACGGTGATAACGTCCAAGGCACGCTGAAATGATTTATCTTGTAAGGAGAAAGGGCTTCTCCACAGTACTCAAGTACTTGAAAAGGGCCACAGAAGTGGCTGTGTCACAGCTGACCACCCGTCATCCATCTTTGGAGCAGTTGGCCGTGGAGAATGAAGCCAAGCAGAGCGCTGACAATACAGGCCTGCGGGAGGAGGTGACCAGGGACTCTTAAAAAAAGTCCTCTGAGGCCTCAGTTTTTCCATTTCTGCTCAACAGACCTGCCCGGCGTAGCCCAGGGGCCGGTCACGGGGGCCGGTTGTGTTCTCTGCGTTGTGGGGTTGCCTGCTCTGCTCCGCTGGCGCAGCCGCCCCCGTGGCCACTCGCCCCTCCAGAACCCCCAGACCCTCTTGGGGTGGGGGCAGGTACCCGGTTCTGGGGTTTGGGGGCAGGGGGGTGGATTCTGCAGGGCAAGGGGGAGAGGTGGTGCCCGAGACCCGGTGCCGGCGGTAACTCCGGTGGTGTTTGGGAATTTTTTTCGCAGCCCCCTGATGTTGAACGACAGCAGTTCAGCACATTCCATGCCGAAATACAGCCGCCAGTACTCCCTGGAGCACGTCCACGGCGCATCCCCCTACGCAGTAAGTGCGCCGGGCCTGGGAGCGGGGCGATGGGGGACGCGGCTTCCTGGGGATTTGGCTCTTCTCCAGCGGGTCTTGCCTTTGTACAACCCTCCGCTCGACACCTCTTTGTTTGCTTTGGCAAAAGATTCGAAGGTGGCAGCTGCGTTCTAGCTCGGCCAACGTGGAGAGAGGGCTGTTCGCTGGTAATTTCCCCCCGTAGTTGTGCCGGGGCGGAGGGTTTGGCCTCGGGGTTGTCTGAATTCCACGGGAAGCGGCGATGGGTTGAAGTGGTGCATCCTTGCTTGGCTTCCGTCTGCCAGCTCGGGCCATGGTTTGGTTTTGCAACAAACAAAAACGCAGTGGATGTTGATCAGTCTATGAAACATTTGCCTAATTAACGTGTGCCCATGTATAATTTGAGTTACTCCCTCCAAAGAAACCTGCTTTCAGCCAGGGGAGGTGGTGCGGGGCAGAGCCTGGCTGAGACACAGACCTGAAGTAGCCAAGACCCAAGCGATGAGGCTGAAATTGTGGAAGTAGTGAGCCTGACGGGAAGAGCGGAGCGTGCTCAGGAGAATCCCCGGGAGAGCAGGTTGGGTGGAACTTTAGACTAGATATTAGGAAGGATTTCTGTGCAGAAGGGGCTGTTGGGCGTTGGAATGGGCTGCCCAGGGCAGGGGGGAGTCCCCGGGATCCCTGGAGGGGTTGAAGAGTCGGGCTGAGCCAGCGCTGAGGGGTCTGGGGGAGGGTCATGGTTGGGCTGGAGGAGTTCAAGGGCTTTTCCAACACGGATGGTTCTGGGGTTCTGTGGAACTGGACGCATGGGGTGAGAGCAGGTGGGAGCTGTTGGGGTGAAGGGCTGCCCCCCAAAGACCTCGTGGGTGCAGAGTCTGGAGGAAAGGCCGTCACGGCTGGCTGTGGGCGTGTCTGGCCTCATGACGGTGGGTGAATGTCTCGGTCCCCACGGGGGTTATGAGGCGGGTGAATCTTGGGTTCCCCGAGAGGCCGGGAGCGGTGGAAGGGGCAGTCCCTGCTCTGCAGAGCTCAGCTCGGAGAAACGACGGTGCTGATGCTTCATTAGCTGACAACTTAGTGAGTGAACGGAGACAGTTAGGCAACGATCAACTGGTAACCTTCGATCAACCAGCAACCTTTGATCAACGGGTAACCTTCGATCAACTGGTAACCTTCGATCAACATCAACCAATAACCTTCGATCAACCAATAACCTTCAATCAACTGGTAACCTTCAATCAACTGATAACCTTTGATCAACTGGTAACCTTCGATCAACCAATAACCTTCGATCCACTGGTAAACTTCGATCAACTGATAACCTTCGATCAACTGGTAACCTCTGATCAACCGGTAACCTTCAATCGACTGGTAACCTTCGATCAACCAGTAACCTTCAATCAACCGATAACCTTCAGTCAACTGGTAACCTTCAGTCAACTGGTAACTTTCCAAGAGTGAATAAAGGCACTTTGGCGATGAGACAATTTTCCTAACAACACGTCAACGATCAGCTGATCGCACAAGACTTATACAAGTGGATATACGTAAGAGAGAGCAGAAGAGGAAAGAGGGGAGGGGCAGGAAAAGGGGAGCCCCCGCCCTTGGCTCCCGCGGCGTCGTGGAGTAATAAGCTCAGTCCGTCGGTGTTGGGTCACAGACACACGCGGGGCGTTGCCTTTATGTAACGTTTCCTACGCCTGTGCAATAGCTTGTTCCAGAAGGTTCTCGGTGGCTTGTCCCCACGCAGTGAGGTGCATTCTGTCTCTGGGCACCGACGGGAGGGAGGGAGGGGTAAAGGAACGGCCCATCAGCCCCTCTGCAGAGCTCGCTCCGCTCTCCCCCCGTGGCGCGTCCCGCTCGGGTTGTTTGAGGCTTCCTCTTGTCTTCACGAGCAGTTTGTTGGGTTTCCATGAGCAGTTTGTGACAGCAAATGCCATGTGTCCCCCGCTGCCTCGCTCCAGGATGTGGCCTCGGGGACACGCCAACACGTTCTGGGAGTCTGTAAATGTACCCTCCGGGCCGGCCTCCCGAATTGCTGCTGGTTCCCGGGGAATCCTGACGCTGCGTCTACACTCCCCCCCCTTCTTCTGATGCACTTTTTGATGTGCGGCCTCCCGTGGCCAACAAACACGAGTCTCTTCCAAACCCTTCTGCTGGCTCCACATCCTCCTTCAGACGGGCTCCCTCTGTGTGTTGAGTTTGCTCAGCCTCGAAAGCCAGCAGAGGGCGGCGGGGTCGCTTACGCTCCATCTCTCGCCCCACGGGCTGCAGCGTCGCCTGCGCCTCAACCCTGTGTCAGACATGGTGTTTTGAACCCCCTCGCGCCGCGTGGGCCGCGCTCCCTGGGCTCTGACCTTCCACGGGGGCTGGAGGCCGCGTCCCGTGCCCTGAGGGCTACGAAACCTCACTGGTGGCACTCCCAGAGCCTGCCTGGTCAACACTCACTGCTGGTCGCTGCTTCTGATGGCCTCAGGCCTTGGCTGACCCTCTCAGTTCTGGGCCCCTCACCCCAAAAAGGCCATTGAGTGACTCGAGCGTGGGCAGAGAAGGGCAACGGAGCTGGGGCAGGGTCTGGAGCACAGGTCTGCTGGGGAGCGGCTGGGGGAACTGGGGGGGTTCAGTCTGGAGAAGAGGAGGCTGAGGGGAGACCTCCTGGCCCTCGGCAACTCCCTGCCAGGAGGGATCTGGGGGAGTTGGGAACGGTCAGGGGGAGGTTCAGGGTTGGGCTGGAGGAGCTGCGAGGGCTTTTCCAACCGAGATGATTCTGAGATTCTGTCCAGTGAAACAACCACTGCCCTGGGAGCAGGTTTAGCTTTGCCCTGCGCGGAGGAGAAGGTGCAGCAGCAGCTTCATTCCCCAGTAACTGCTGATAACCGTGGCAGCTCTGTCCCAAACACCACGGGCAGAGAGGCTGAGGATCTCGTAGCAAACACAGGTCTGCCAGCGCCCAGCAGCAGCGTTGTCAGCTCAGGCCCAGCCGAGGTGGGAGCTGCCCTCTGACCCTGGAGGTTGTGCTCAGCCCTGTAGCGACAGCCCCTCACTGCGGCAGTGCAGCCCCCAGCAGCTCACAGACTTTCTGAGCCTCCCCGAGCAAAAAGGGCCCATCTTTCCCCAGCACCTTGTGGTCTCCGAATTCTTCTTTTCTTCCTCTTTAATAGGTTATTCCTGGCACTGGCGCTTCCCCCGAGGTGCTGAATCACCCACAAATGCCATTTATTGCCTTTAATACCCTCTGCCAGGAACACTCGCTCTTAAATATAGACCATATGTTTGCTTAATGGCCCTTTTCTCTGTCCTTTTGTAGTTGCTGTCCTTTGCAGTAGGACTAATTGCACTTCTTACACCCCCAAATCAGTGCGTTTGGGCCGTAAAATTAGGGCTGACCGAAGGAGCCATCCTCCCTTCCCAGAAAAACAGCCCATCTGAAAACACCTGGGTGCTGATGTCAGAGGTGGGTCCCAGGCCCTGTCTGCACCAAGGCGTCGCTCCGCTGACTCCCGGGAGTGGTTCCCCCACCGCAGCCCCCACCCCACGGCCACTCTAGGGAAGGGCATCCTCGCCGGGCCACTCCTCTGCTAGGGAGGCTACATCCACAGCAAGCGCTCGGTTGTTTTCCCTAGACGGGTAAAGAAAAATCCCACCCTGCTTCCCAGAAGCTCACGCACACAGGGCTGTGACCAGTGGTGGCAGAAAGAGCACACGAGGGTGATGTGTCAGGGGAGCTGGCTAGGGTCAGAATCAGAACTGTTTAGGTGCTCAGATTTGGGTCAGAATCAGAACTGTTTAGGTGCTCGGTTTGGGTCAGAATCAGAACTGTTTAGGTGCTCGGTTTGGGTCAGAACCAGAACTGTTTAGGTGCTTGGTTTGGGTCAGAATCAGAACTGTTTAGGTGCTCAGATTTGGGTCAGAATCAGAACTGTTTAGGTGCTCGATTGGGGTCAGAACCAGAACTGTTTAGGTGCCCGTTCCGCCTCCTCTTTGTAGCTGACTTTGAGGCTTTGCATGTGAAGAGGCGTCAGCAGTCGGAAGGAGGTTTTTGCCCCCTTGTGTGGAAGCAGATCTTAGAAATGTGTTAGCGTGAGATTTTTACCCGTTTTCTTTCTCTCAGGAGTAGCCCCGTGGTCCGTATCAAAGAAGAACCCCCTAGCCCCACCTGCAGCCCCCAGGTAGAGGAGGCCAGCCCAGGGAACCCTCCCGCTGTTGAAACTCTTCTGTCCCCCTCCACGTTCATTGACTCCATCCTGCAGGAGAACGAGCCCAGCACCACGACCGCTGCAGCCGGCGACAGCACCCCGCAGCCTCAGCCCCAGGAAAAGTGCCTCAGCGTTGCCTGCCTCGACAAGTAAGTGCCGTGCCCAGCCTGGCTGAGCTCAGGCCTTGCCACAACCATCCCACCGCTCTTGTTGTTAAGCTTTGTAAGGATGTGGTTAAGCCAGCGCTGGGCGCAGGTGGGGTCGTTGGTCCAGCGCGGGGCTCTGAGCGCAGCCTTTCCCCCGAGGGCCGTGAGGGAGATTTCTCTCTCCCGTTCCTCTTCTGCTGGGAGCGAGGAACGTTTCCTATCACCTGACCCCCCCGCACAGAACTAAACCCCCTGGGAGGGTGGATTCTGCTGCGAGGGGCCACGTGAAATGCCGAAAATAAGCACAGATAAAAATTACTGCGCTAAATATATCGCTCAAACTGCTGCTCCTCCAGCGCAGGAATTGAGTCACGGCGAGATCAGCTGTTTCATCTCAGGCTCAGCACATCTCTCGCGCTCTATAAAAGCTTCTGCGCTGTATTTGCAGTCCAGGGGTGGCCGGTGGCTCCTCGAATTGCTCGCTGGAAGCTTTAACCCCAGTGGGTTTTACCCGCAGGGGAGACTTGGAACCGTCTCCGTCAGCCTGCTTCGACAGCGCGCACCGTAGCGCTGCCCCTACGCCGTCCTCTGCTTTAGCCCAGCCCAGCTGCCCCCCAGATCAATAAGGGAGGAAGGTTTGTGTTAAACTGGCGTTTGCCCACCTCGTTCTGGTCGTGAATACGCTCTTCCACTCATCCTCTACTCACCAGGACGCAGCTTGCGTCAGGCGTAGGCTGGGCTCGGCAGGTGGCAGCCTGCACTCGGTGGGTAGTTTTTTATTAGGGAGCAGGCGTGCAGTCTTTATGTCTTTTATCACCACACAGTGCTCGCAGACGCAACTGCAAGGGGTGGGATGAAAAAAAACAGAAAATGGTTTGTCCGCATCGAGCTGCCAAGAACTTCTCCCCTTGACCATGTCGAGTGACTTCGGCTTCTTCTCAGATCTCGGCCGCTTCCCATTGTCCCCGTGTTCTGGGAGAAACAGCGTCAGGGTTAAAGTTTTCCCTCTGAAAGCCAGGACAGACTTTCTGTCCTTAAAGCCTAAAAGCGATTCGGAGAAGACACAGTTAGTGCCAGGGTGCTGGAAGGCAGGGAAAGGACGCAGAAAGCATCTGCCCCTGCGGAGAGCCAGCTCCGCGCTCTCGCCCTTGAAAAGGGTTTGTCCTTCCCCTCCTTTCGGCGCTCTCTTACTCCTGCGTCTTGCCAAGAGCACTGCGCTTCTCTCCTCTGCTTTAGGGCTGTTCCAGAGGGAAGGATTCCCAGCCACGCACTAGCCCTGTCCCCGTCTCGCTGCTCCTAACCCGCCTGCCCCATGAATTTATAAAGGAAGAGTTGGGACATTTTGTGGCTGACCCCGAGGGCGCACGGCGCTAGACAGGAGTGGAACCGTTCAACACAAAATCTGTCCCTGCCCCGGGGAATTTGAAGGCAAAATGTCAATAATAAAAGGAAGCCCTGGGCCTGGCTCCTCGCCGGGTTGGGATGGTGTTAGCTGTGTGCCTCCGCCTGCAGCTTTGGTTCTTGGGGTTACTGGACAGTCCTGTGGTGGCAGAGGAGGAGGTGGGTGTCCCCAGCGGGCTGCGGCGCTCCCGAGGGGCTGGTAGGAAAGGTGGGACAGGCCATCAGACAGACAAGGGGCGATGGTTCCGAACTCAGAGGGGAGATTCAGGCTAGATCCAGGGAGTAGATGTCCTACTGGGAGGGTGGTGAGGCACTGGGCCAGGTCGGCGCCCCATCCCTGGGAGCGTTCCAGGTTCAGTTGAGCGAGGCTCTGAGCCACCCGAGCTCAGACCCGAGGGGGGTGGGACTGGATGACCTTGAAGGGTCCCTCCCACCCCAACCCCTTCGC